TCCTTTATTCTCCCACTTTTTGAAAACGTTGTAAAATTTATCTAGCCACGTCCCTGAGCTTCATTCCGGACGCGTTACGATATGCGAGATCGCGAGCGTTTCCGGTCCATGAATGAAGTCACACCGATGTGTGCGAAGGGTGCATTGTCAACGAGGTGAATCTTTTGTCGCATAGAAAAGAGGAGCGGCTTTTGTTCCGGTGTCTTTATTAAGCCTGAATTAGTGGGAAAAAATGCGACGGTCTTCAAGGCTCTTTGCTCTTCTTCCGGTTCTATCACCGAGCGACGTATCCGCGCAAAGGTGCGACTGGTTATATATGCTCGGAGGAGCATGACCGGCTTGACTAACTGTACACATGTGTCTCGCATGCTCCTTAATTTTGTAATCACTTTGGTCAAAGAAGGCTCGCGTTTGCGTAGCCTCTAGACAGTAAGATATCCGCGGCAAACATTTTTAATGCTAGAATATTCGCACGGAAATTATCTGAAATTTTTAAATTAAGAATTTGTTTTATAATATTTTTATTTATTTTTATATTTGTCACATTTATAAAAAGGTAATTGAGATGTCTAATTTCTAAAATAACTAAATTTATTTTTTCTAAGTTTGAGAAATTCGCGACTTCTATTAATAAGGTATTTATATCGAAATCGTAAAAAATTAAAAAAAGAGATTTAATTGTTTTTTAATCTAGACATCGCAATCATTCTCATTTATATTTATCTATAAATTAGTTTATTTAGAATAATTTTCTCTTTGGAATAATTTTCTCTTCTTTGTATTAATTTTAAGAGAGAGGGAAGGAGAGATTTTTGAAATTTCTTAAGATAAAATGTGAAATAAGATACATATTTTATTTTACATTTATTGAAATGTGGACGAAAGTGATAAGATACATGAATATCATATTGGAAGATAGAATTTGTATAAACTGAATCCATTTATCTTATCATTGCGTATGCGAAAGAAATGAAAATGCATGAAAACAGAATGCCTGCAGCGTGTGTTTTGGCTTGAAAACCTTTTGCATTTAAAACAGCATCTGACGTACAAAGAAGAATAGCAATAATTTATACACGACGTTAACAATTATGTTCATAAGAATTGTTTCCAACTTTTTAACTTTCTCTAGACACACGTACAATTGTTCTTTCGAAAGTTTAAAGTCATAATTACAGACTTATGTCTAATGTTAAAAATTAAAAGGTTTGAAACATTCAAGTGCACATATAAATAATATTGAAGTATAAATAATAAATAAGAATATCTTTTAAAGATCAATTTTAGGTGGATTTTCTATGTATTTTCTGAAGTGAATTTTCTATCTATATTTATTTTGATAGAATACAATTTTTGCTTGCGACTTCTATTGAACAAATCTCTCTTTCGTCGGGCAATAAAATTGAAAAGTCACGACGATCGATCCTTAAGTAATGCTATGAAATACAATTCGCGTCACGTCGTGAGTTGCAACTGGTTGCAGTCAACAGAGCATGGCCGTCGCACTGTATATTGTTGTTCAACGTGTCGCTTCTGTCCGCAACATTTTGCGCCGCACGAGGCCTCGATGCACAAATAGACACACAAATGTTGCATCTTTAATTTAAAATTACCGCAGATCATTAATATTTTATAAATAAATTCTTATAAATATTACATTTGATAATATTTTTCTGTATTGAGAAAATTTATATTGCATTTGTAAAAATTTTTTTACAAATAATACAATATAAATTTTAATTTGCCAAAGGATTTTATAATATAGCTCTTCCAACAAAAAATAATTTTAATATTTCAAGAAGAAGAGAATTTCATTCTCAAAGAATTTCCATTATATACAATCTCCATTTTAAAAAGATATAATTAGGGTAAAAAGATACTACAATTTAATCAGGAACTCGAGTCTACTTACGATTTTTTCCTTTAATTACTTATACTATATTTTTACCGCAATCACTTTGCATGCAATTACAGACGTGTTTCGAGTTTATCAGACCGGACACGCCGTCAGGCTCGTTTTTAATACTATAGATGCTAGTCATATAAGCACTTAAGATTGCGTACAAGTAGCTGCATTGGCCGAATTAATGCATATGCGATTCATATAACAACTAATAATAAATATTCATTTTGGTGCCCAATGCTCCTCCTCCTCTCAGGTTGTTAGGATCGTTGATTCACATGTACTCGCGAAAAGTTCATGCAGTTTATTATGCACTTTACGTGGCATTCCCGCACTTGGATCCGTGACATTTTAAACGGCTCTCCCGAATTCCGCAATTGCGAGGCAATATATCGTCTCGCGTGAAGATCACATTTGGATTCGATCAAGAGTTGTACACCCGAAGCGGAAAGAGAGCGGAAATCGATGGATGGAATCGACGCGAATCGTATTCTCCCAGACTCTTGTCTCGAAGCACACATGTATCTTCTAAATGTAAGAAAAATGTAAGAAAGGAGGCCGTAAAGTGTCTGAGCTCTCTATTTTACATATGAGAACACGATATAGTGACACCATATGGTGCATAAGACGAGACGCAAATTAGATCTCACTTTGCCCTTATCGGACAAATTTTACTGATTTAAAGCAAATTATTTGAAGTCATAATTTAATTTCATTATATTTTCTTATATTTTAATTTTATTATATATTTTTATATATTATATATTTTATTATATTTTAATTACAATTTTTTTATAATATAATTTTGTAATACAATGTATAAAAAAATTTAGCAAAATTTAAAACAATTTTATTTTATTTAATCTTATTATTTTATATAGCAAAGATCGAAATATCATATAAAGATAATTATTCACGACACTAAAAAACAGTAAAAATCGATATACTAAACTGAAAAAAAAACTTGGTTGAAAAAGGCAAAATTTGTTTTGTCCAACTAAATATATTGTCCAATACGTTCAAATAAATAACTAAAGTATTCCGAAATAATTTGTTGATGTAAACAAAGCTTATTCAAATAATCAAAACAGAAAGTTCAGTACAACAATGTACAGTTACTGTAACAGAATATTTTTTAGGTAATATTCAACCAATTTTTTTTCAGTGTGACGTGCACTCAATATATTGAAAATGCTCTCTACAATTATTATCCAATTAATATCCAATACTGTAAAAGCATTAGGTATTTAGCTTCAAGCTAAATCTTCTTAATACTAAACTATTAAACTTTTCTATCATCAAGATGAACATATTGGAAGGATTATATTATATAATTTTGTAGTATGTGTGTGTGTAATATAATATATAATTTATTTATGTGATAGTGAGAGATTATATATTTCCGATTTTAACATAATTGATAAATATAAAAGAGAAAATTAAAAATAAATATTCGCGTGCAAATTATAATATTCGAGAATATAATATAATTAGATCTGTTGTTCATTAACATGATATATTTCGATGGAATAATTCTCGAGATAAACAATATTTTACATTATTTTATCATAAGAAAATGATCGTTGAAACACACACATATACACATTTAAATAAACGAAAAATTCAAACCTTAAAGATAAAATATATTTAGATAAAATACTAAATAAAATATATTTAACTACTACGTAAAATATATTTCGTTCTAGTTGAATTATATTTAGAAAAATAATTATTATCTATAATTATTTCGATAAGGATTTTAGTAAAACAGTTATTAATTTATAATTTCTATTTCTGTAGCTTTTATTTTTTGAATCTTGAAATAATAAATTTTTACTTGGGAAATAAATCATATGCGTTAAAAAGCTATCGCGATATAATCACTTATCGATTATTGAAAGTCATTAATTAATTAATTGTAATAATCATAGCGACTTATCTCTGGGATTTTTCGTTAATTAATCATCCTGCAATCTTACTACACGATTTCAATTCGAGTAAAAAATTAAATTTGATGAGTGAAAAATTTAATATGTCAAAGTATTTGATTTCACGCATTATTAGAAAAATAATTATTATTCGTAAAAATCAATAAAATAATTTATATCAATTTTTATCTCTCTCGCGACTTTATTCGTTGCAATAATAAATGTATAAATTGAATAAAGAAAAACGCACTTTAATAAAAGTTTATTAATGTAATAAACGGGTACATCGTTTATCGAAAATTGATTAATCGTTAATTATAATGATCATAGCGAATTATTCTCTTGTCGTGATTGTGTTTTGAAAAAGAATTCTGCAATGTACAAAGCGCTTTGCAATTATATTTACAATAGTATCTCCTCATTCGAGTCGCACTGCTTGTATGACAAGACAATCACGTGCCTTAACAATATGCCAAGAAAATTGATAGCCAAACATTGTGTGACAATTAATTTATAAAATATTCAATATTTTACAATAAAAGTTTAGGTTGAATATTTTCTGTAACTTCTAGCATTTAATTTATTCAAATTAATTTCGATAAATGGGTCATCATTGCATATATAATGTTCATTTAAAAAATATAATTTATCTTACGATTTAGTTTAATCAAACTTTTTATGTAGGTTAATTTAATATTATTATTTTACCCCAAATTTTTTTATATTTCGAAATACATTTCTTTTTTTAAATTTAGGATTTTTTAATTATAACTATTAAATAAATCTATTAAAACTATTAAATATATGCCATAAGGAAATAAATCGCTTGTTTTCATTCTAGTAGTTTTATAAATTCGATATCTTATCGGGAATTTTTTATGATTTTATCGAGTCATTCATCATTTCGCAATCGTTATATACCTAGAATCAGGAGTCTTAAAATTCCTCTCGTCGCAATGACTCATAGATCTCGTCATGAGCAATACTGATTGCCAGATTACTCACTGTAGTTTTATCCCTCTCTTTAATGAAGAGACCAACATTAACCATTCGTTCGTTCGTTCGAGTCTAAATATCATTTGATATCTATACTTGAATTAATTATATGACGTGATGATCGATCATTCTCGCGTTTGTTGATTTATATAAAGATGCATTTGTGTTTCCAGATACATCCAGATGACGCGATGACGCTACATTGGTGGATGCACTGGTTTTGGGTTACCGCGCAATTTCTTGGTGAGTCATCGTATAAGGTTTTTTTGTCGAACATAATAAACTTATTAAAATGCAAGCAATCCTGTTTTTTTATTAATTATTTTCCTAATTAACTTTTAAAAAGAATATAATGAAAGATAAAAGAATGTCTTTTGTTTTAATTATATATCATTTTATGTAATCATATGATTCATGTAATTTCAATTATTATTATTAAGATTTAATTATGATTAATTATATTTCACTTTTAAAGTTTCATAGGTGAAATTGTTACAATTTCCCAGCATTCTCTATAATTTAGAATCCAATTTAGACTCGCAAAATTTCATAGATAGCACGATAATTTCTATTCGAAATATCATAATTTTCCTTTGATGACAGTTATTCTCGGAAGTCCCTTGCCCTCCAGCACGTCAGATCCCATTAATCAGCAGTCTCAGTCATCCTCGAGAACGACATCCCCATCGATCGAGACGGAACATATCTATCGCTCATCGAAGTCACCCAGACCGAGTTTTCGCATCGCCAAGGCCATTGGTTTTTATCCGCAGACGAATACGGCCGTGGTGGCCGACAGGCAACCCGTCACCACCGTCGCTTCGTCGTTATTGGAATCGCGTGGAAGTACCGGTCCCGGGACGACTGGTCACGAGGACATCGACGAGTCGAGTTTCCGCGGGAACATCTCCGGCGTTTTGCCGCTTGGTGTAACGACACCGGCGCAGCACATCATCGAGAGGATCAGGAACCCGACCACGAAGAAGGATAGTAAGATCACGTGGATTCTAACGACGAGCAAGTCGTCAGGTAGATCCAAGCCTCTCCACGAGGAGAGGTACAATCAGTCGAGCGGCGCCGCCAGAAACGTCAGTTTCGACGAGGTCGAAGATCTCACCGTGTTACCTCTGCAAGAGGAGATGACCAAGATCGACCTGTCGCTAAACAGGACGAGATCTTCTCCCTTAATGTCCTTATCCGCGGCCGGTGCTACCAGTAACGTCGCGATCAGGACAATGTTCAATCGATCCGAAGACGAGAGCGAGATTGACGAGGAGGTGGCCCAGACGCAGCACTTTGCCACAGCGGCGTCTATCCTTGAAGGTGAGCTCTTTGGGAGAATTGTAACATACAAAGCGAGTAAATGAGAGAATAATTTCGCGGGCAATTAGCAACCATGACGTTGCGCGAAAGAAAGATTAGCGTTGTATTTTAATTCACATTGATTTTCACGACGCCTCTTCATTGGCCTCCTTTCTCATACTTGCTAATTCTGCTCCACTTTTTATTTTAAACCTAATTCATCATTTTATTCGTCGCACGATATAAACCAACCAAATGCAAGATTGTTGTATTTTTAGTTAACATTTAACGAATACGAAAAACAGATATTTTGAAAATCATAATTGGAAAAAAAAAACAACAAATGTGCAGTTGGCGTGAGCGAATCCACTCGTCTGAGCAGAGCAAGAGATACCTTCATCACGCAACACTTCCAGAGGGATCAAATGCAGGGAGACAATCGATCTTCCGATTATACCGATAAAGCGGAGCAGCAAAATTCAGGGACATCCGCCGCGGGTATAGCCGCTATAACGGGCAGTTGTTTAGCGACCGTGCTACTACTCAGTACAATGGGTAGTCTTGGATTTATTATATACAGGTAGTAAAAATCTTTTCTAATGTGCTTTTAATTACGCTCATTAAACATCTGAATTTGCGTGTAATGCGTTGATTTGTTTCGCTCTTTTTTCAGGCGCAAGTACTTGAATCCTCCGCAAACATTAAACAGTGATAAATGCAGTAATCCCGATAGTTCCGGTTATATCGACGATTCCACCATTCGCGTTAGTATCATATATAAGTATACAGATAATTCTTCTAGTGTTTCTAGTAAAAATAATTTATTAAAACGCACGTTATATATTCTTAAATAAGTTTAAAAGAGATCCATTTATAATGTCATAATTCTAAAATTCTAAAAATTTTATTTCACTAGATAAAAGTAATACAATTTTCGGGTCTGTTAAAAAATATATCTATAATAAATATATATCTTTTATTTTCGCAGGATAACTCGGAGGAAATGTACAGTCTGGATAATGATTCGTTCCTAAATTCGCTGGAAGCGATGACAATACAGAATTACTGGACGGACAGTGTAAAGCATACGAAACTATGACAAAAGAAGATAACCCATCCTGGCAGGAGAATCGAAACGTTCAGCATTTCCGATGGTGAAGCGCACGAGCAAATCTCTCTGCTCGAGCAATAGTACTTACACTAGTCCGTGTGTATTCTGGTTATTGCGCGAAAAGTTTTGTCGACTAAATGCAGCGCAAGTTTACGAGAATCGTTAATTAGTCTCAATGGGCTGTATCAGGGAGGATAAGCTATCTTGAACGTTACCATTGTGTACGTAAGAAAGTAGATCAAAAATTTGCGTAAGCATTGATTTACATAACTTCTTCATCGTCCTTATATTTTTCTACGACGCATCCGATCGGCAAAGTCACAAGCTTAAGCGGCAAGTGGCGCAATTATTCCTCTCAAATATTTCCATTAACGATATATAGTGCAATAAATAAACAAAAATCGATGTACTTTATATTATTAAATTAATACAATAACTCTCCTCTATTCTGTCTAGAAAAGTAAGAGTACAAATAAGACTATATTAGTCCATAGCTAGAATTTTCGCTAAATTAAAAAGAAAATAAATAATTAATAAGGATATTGAAGAGAAAAAGGGAGAGAGAGAAAAAGAATATAATATATTCTTAGGAGTACAATTATAGTATTATATATATTATAGTACAATATACTCTTCCAATTATGCGAATTGGAACCAGTATATATAATTATATATATGTATAATATTGTACTTACCAATGTCTTTTTAACCTTGGATTACAGATGTCTTCTACAGTTTCACTTAAAAATTCCATTACGATTATAGTGATTAGCTCGGCCATATTAATTATTATTAAATATTTTCGAAAATTGGATTTACGGAAGATCGGACCAAATCGTACGTAGATCTAGCTTTATGCCTTCACGACATATCCAACAGGAATATTGATTCCGTTGTTTTCCATTATAAATCTAACTTATAGCTATGTACATATGTATTGTTGTAACGTTTTATGTATAAATGTCCGTGGCGTTGCGTCTCACGCAAGACGCGATTAATTTTAAGTAGCTTTAGCACATTTAGCCAGATATATTTCTATACATTCGCGAAAGGGAAGTAAAGACAGAAAATACATTGTGATAGATAGTAGGGTTTAAATAAGTGTAAAATTATTATCCGATTCGTTTATGATAACGGTTGTGAATAAAACACGTGTATTATAGATTAACTGCCGCCGTCCCATTTCTTTATTCGAATGCTTTATTTGCAAGTGTATTCGATTGTTTCAATTAATAATCGCAATTTTTAAGAGTTTTTAGATGTAAAATTGCTTTTTTATTTTAAATTAATACGTGCATAATATAAGCATAATTTTTACCTACAAAAATTGTTCAAATCCAAAAAAAATGTTCAGATATTACAATAAATTTAAATTATAGATTTATAACCATGGATGTTAATTCGCTCTTCGATTATCATTCTTGCGGTATTTAAAAACAGATTTTGATCATTTAATTAGATTCATCAGAGAAAAAAGCGAGGAAAAAATTACTAAAGAATGATTTATCATATAAATGATTTATTTCGTTAGTACGTACATTTGCGCCAGCACAAAAAAAGGATCGTATTATATAAAATGAGAATAATGCAGAGTTCCTTTTTTCGAGACTAGACATGCAGCATGGGATTCCATTACCAATCCCTTTGTTCTTCCTTCGTGATTGATTTTCGTTTTCGCTCTTTGTCGGGTCTTGTTAGCGAAAACGATTCATGTCAATTGTGCGTGTCAATTGTATCGCGAAGGCAAGATGCGAATGGCATTGGAATCCGACAATTAATGTCTTCCTGGTTCGCGGCCCTTTTTCCATCTCCGAGAAACGTCTAGTCGAATTTCTCGAGTAGCAAGATTCCTTAAAAAATTCACGATCGTGTTTATTAATGAATTCTTGATCGCGAACGAAATCACTTTTGTTTATACACATTTTTTCTTGTTACCGAACATCAAAATATTTTTCACTTGATGGAATTGCTAAACTAGAAGAGTATCAAATCTAATATAATAATATAATATATGTAAAACTTGCTTTATACGAATATTTCTTTAATCGTTGATCAAAGATTATTATTATTATTATAAATTGTGCGATTTTTTTATTAGCATTGTATCGCTGCAAGAGAATTCGATTAGGGTTTCTCTTTATGTACAAAGCCTTGTCACACGTCCCGAATTATACTTCATAATATTCACAGGGCAGTGTTAGAAGTATCAGAGTTACACTAATACGCGTAAAGGCAGGCATAAGTGGCTCTTCAAGCTTCGTTGCTTATGAGTGAAGAAGACCGAAACTCGATACACTGTTCGCTTTCTTTCTCTAACGCTTGTAGCTGAATATTTTCACGGTGCTGGCGGATTCAAAGAACAAAGCAACGCAACGTTCTAATAATTCTCTTTTCGCAAGCTCGCTTGTGCCCTAAATCGAGATAAGATAAATGCAACGAGATATATTATAGCGTTCAAAGAAAAAAACATACTTTTGAAAATCGAGATAATGACGAGAATTCTAATTATTCGAATAAAATTATATACAACTTTCATTTATAAAATCAATGGAAATTCATCTTGCGATTTTAGTTTCAGTTGTATAGTGATCAGTATTATACATGTATTATACATGATCTTCGTTCGTTCACTCCTTGACGAAGCAATAATGTACAATCATTATCTCATATTGCATTATAATTCAACATTGGAATTAAAAAAAATACATTGTTCCAAGGTATTTAATCTGTACTTAAGTACATACTGCGAATAGATTATCAATTATAAGCAGTTTTAACTTTATGTAAATTTTGCGTGATTTCATCTTCACGTTGTATTGAATTCAATATTGCAATATTCTAATTCTAAATCGTTTAAACTGGATGAGGAAACCTGATGACGTTTGTGCTTTCAAATTTGCGTAGAGCTAAACAAAAAGTTTTTATATAAATGTATCAGCTTGAGAGAAAGTACAGAGATCATTCAAAAATCAAGATGATAATATAGATGGATGACACTTGCGAACCAGCGATGCATTCTACTACTCTTAAACACAAGATTCCCCTTGCATGTTTATATCAAGTGACCTTCATAAAAGATTTGCACGCATTCTTCGTACTTAAAATGCGTGCGCGACGGAAACGACAGCTGCGACAGTGCTGTTTAAACACTTTTATCATTGCCCGGTGTTTGACAAAGAGCAAAAAATGCGTTCGTTATGAACGAATACTTCTTTAAAGCTAAACACTGTGACTTTGACCTACAAAAATATTTCATTTTTTTCGTCAATAGCAACACGCCTCGTCACAGTCGTGTTGGCATTTTATCTTAAAATTTATGTAAACACGTCACATAATCCACGTAAATTATATTTTCCCTATACGCGCGAGTCCCTATGATCCCCTAAATCGAACAACGATAAATAAGAAGGTAAGCTCCCTTGAAGCTCGCGTATTGTAGCTACATCGAATTTGGCTGGAAATTGAAATATTGACTATGTACAATCCCATTACATTTTGTCGCCTACTTTCCCATTACATTTTGTCGCCTACAACAGACGAAAATTATATTCTACATTAAAAGAAAACTTACAAATCGACGACCATCTACTTTATCTAAGTGTACATGTATACACTGGAAACAATTATTTTCTATATGCGCCAGACTCGTTAGTAGCGGTTAAGTTCATACATCGAGACGATGAACGAGTTTCTTATACAGATAAATAATTATCTATAACAGCGTCAGAAGACTTTGCTGCGATCAAAATGTATTGACCGCGATAATTCATAGTAGTTTTCGGAAAAATGTCTTTTTTTTTAAAGAGATACTTTGTATCTTAAAAATTTCACTCGATATTAATTCGCCAATTCATGATTGCATCAGTTATTATTTCTGAAATATTTGCAATATAATACAACATTGAATATTTGCAATTCTTCTAAATTGTTAGTTCATATATACCTCCATGCAAAGAAGTGTTTCTGAATCGTCTTTCACCGATTATAATAGTTTTCGGTTATCAGATCTGCAACGTTAATAAATGCGATCATGAAAACCGGTATTTCTCTATCGATCTGTATCGATAGGATTATTACAATTTAGTAATAAACGCATCGCGAAGCAATAAGTAAGAGATCAAAAAACTCGAAGAGCTATTAGATTTCTTTAATACCGCTTGATTCGCGTGTTGATCTTCAAGAACGAATGGAAGAAGTTGAAGACGTTGACGCGAATCGATTCAGTTTGCTGTCGATGATGATCTCGTCGCCATTTCTAATGTTGTATCGATAGAGCTGCTTATTCGGATACAGCATTTCTTCCGGTCCGTATTGCGCCTTCATTACCTAAAATATCGAACACATTTTTCAAAATTGTTATGTAATATAATTATCTATTTGCGATCTTATCGTAAGTGATAAGATAAACATGTTGTTTTTAATAATTGGCAAAATTTTACATAGGGTTGAACGCTGAAAAATTTTCATACCTTATTACTAATATTTCGGAAAATATTTTTCACAGGAAATTACAAATTTTAAGCGATGATTCCAGGATAAAAGAATCAAATGAAGGGACTTATATCGGAGATTTATATCGCGACTTCGGGTTTCTCAAAGGAACGGTCAAGGAACCAAACGTTCTGCGAAAATAATATTAAAAACGTTTAATTAATATTTTAGGACGAAATGGCTCACCTGGTCAACATAAAAGAGTCTCATTCTGTTGGCAGGAATTTTCACCATACTTTCCAATTTGGTTTTTAATTCGAATACTGTTCTATATACATCCACCGATCGTACCTGAAGGAATGAATCATGTGTAACTGAAGTATATAGTGTCTGATGCAGAATATTTTTTATGCGTATCGCGAATACAAATTTACACAATCTTCGCACTTAATTGTATTAAGAACAATTCCTAGATGAAAAAGATTAAATCAATTTCCAAGTTGCAAGTTTTGCTTTTTAATACGACACGTCTATGTAAAGTGTGACGAAATTTGACACGAAATTAAATACCTCGACAAGATCTCCGTAAGTGAACGTGACCTTGACCCTTTTCTCCGGTGTCAGATCCACGTTCACCAAGGGGTCCAACTTTCCGTGAATAGCCACGAGCTCGGAATATCTGAAAATTGAAGAAGGGGGTCAAGTTGGGGCGTCTCTGGCGGAAAGAGCGGCGGCCGTGAAACGAGAATACTCTAATAGGCTCGAGCGAAATTAGAATCGCAACGACTCGCGGGAAAACCAGAATTATAACGTACAAGAGCTTCATTCGGAGCAATCACCTTGCTTATCGAGGGAAAAACAACCATTTCGAGACTCACCTTTCAGGTCGATCAGCTTCCGGTTTATCCATGTAATAACGTATAAAGGCCCTCTCGGCATCCTCGCGTTCCTGGGACGATATCACGCCGCCGCCGTTCAAAGTCTCGACGTTTGGCAATCGAGCTATTAGTAGCTGCCGTCTCTCGTGTTCTGTGTATTCTCGAGGGCTCTGATATTAAAAAAGAAATATAAAAAAATAATAAAATGAATAAAAATTGATGAATAAAAATTCGTACAGATCGATTGCTATATAAATACATACAATTTGTAAAAAATTTGCTGTACATATATAATATTTGCTGTATATATAGCTATATAACACACTATACATATTAATTAGAACAAAAAGAAAAATTAATATAAAAATTCCAGATGTATATATATTTGCATTTAAAAAAATGAAATAATATAAGTAATATTATTTAATTTTTAATAATTAATATATAATATAATTAATATTATATTATATAATATATTATATTTTTAATAATTATATAAATAATATTATATAAATATAAATATAAATATTTATAATAAATATATATTATAAATAATATATAAATATTATATAAATATTATGTAAATAATATTATATAAATATTATATAAATATTATATAAATATCTTAATTTTTCTGTCACTATTTATGTTTTGAAAATGAAATTTATAGTATGAAATAATAAGTTAATGAAAGGAAAATGATAGTATAAAAAGCATTCAGAAATAAAAAAATAATGAATAATGAAGAAGATCCATATGTTTAAAATAATAATTCAAATTTGGATAACATTATCAACGATATGAATTTTAGATCAATTATAAATAATTTGAAATAGTTATACCTTCGTAATATATTCGCAATCGTAATTATAGACGATAACTTATAGTCGATAACTTAAGAATAGAAACCACATTCCATAATAAAACTGGTTGTCAATGGTTGAATTGAAGGTTACCATGTTACGTGTCGTATTAATTGGCACCGTCATATGTTAAACTATTTTATTCTAATTCCGACATGTAAAGCAACCAGGCTCTTTCGTTGTATAAAATACAAAAGAGCGAATATCTTTCGTATAATCTCTTAATTCATATAGAAAGCACAAGATGCGTTTATAGAATTTATTTCAAAAAACTTGTTTTTGAAACTCGCGTTAAATTAATCTATAAGCCTATTTGAGCAGGTGCCAAGACTCAATTGCTCTACATCCACGCGGAGAGATCTCTTCGAGCTTACTAGAACATGCATATTTCACATAATCACAAACAACTGTTGCATTTGTGATGTCAGAAATTAGACATGTGTCTCTAATCTGTCTATCGTCGAGCTTAGATTAAACATGTTGAGAGACGCACTTTGAGAGGGTGAAAATAACCCTACGCTTCAAATAATTTCCGTACCATATCATATTTCGTATATTTGCTCTAATGGTTCATGGAATAAACTTGCTTTGCGTTACTTCAAAGAACATAACTTTGCCTTTTGTTCTAACACATGGTTAAAAACTGATATTATTCCGTGTATTATAATTATCTCCTGTTAGAATTAATTTCTATTCCTTCAAAAAATTAATTTTATTTTTTATAGACAACATATGAAGATATTTCATTTGTAATTATATTACGTATATAATATTCATTTAGAAAAGCTAGAAGAAGAAGTGAATTGTGCATTTCAGAGGTGAAATCGCATCCGGTCTTTAATGGACGAGTGAAACGTGGCATCGAAATGCATCAATCGAAACGTTTCCCAAACGGCGAGCGGTGATTTAAGACTTGCCAATCTTTGATCGTCGGAAGAGAAAAAGTCACTTACCTCGAAAAGCGGACATCCTTGAATCCTAAGTGATTTGAGCGCGGGGAATCTGGCAAGCCTCTCGACCTCGTCCCAGGTCGATAACAGGGTACCATTTACGTTCAAGAACCTCAGCATCCTGAAGGGATCGTGGGGCGACCTGACAGTCGTTCCGTGGGACTCCGACTCCGATTCGGATCTATCATAGTTGACCTTGCTCTCGAATATCCTATTTCCCTTTTCCTCCGTCGACGACGTGTGCTCATCTGCATCTAAATGATTCATATTCTCATTATCCTGCCCGTGATCCTCTTCCTTCGCTCGTCGGTCGTTCTCGGACGGCAAATTCCGATTTTCCTCCAGAGCGAGCGATCTGATTGGGCACTCAGCGAGGACAAGACTCTTCAGATTTGGAAATACATATCTAAAAAAAATATATATATATGTACAATAAGAGATCGAACCAAGCAATTGTATTATATTTGAATATTAAGAGATCTTGAAACAATGATAATTAATATATTAATTGTATTTTGTATGTGGATAAAAGGATTTTGTACAGTATAATTATATTATAAATAATTTTCTCTTCATTGTAAAGAAAACTTACCCCAACTTGGAAATTTCGTTCCAAATTTCTACCGGATTGCCGGTGAAGTGCAACTTCTTCAGCGCCGGGTTAACATTCTCCGGCTTCTGATGATCGAGATCCACCGTTTTGTACTCGTTCAACGACAAATGGAGCTCCTCCAGGTTCCGTAGAAGCCGCACGAGTCCCTGCACCGTCGACCAGGACACCCTAGTGCCGTTCAGCACGAGATTCCTCAGAAGATCGTAGTTACCGTGCTTGACGTCCAGCACCTCCGCGAGACAGTTAAAACTGAGATTGACAAACTTGATCTTGGGCATGTGTTGCAGGATGCCGAACACCTCCGTCCACTGCGACAGTTTGTTCTGCGCCAGATCAAGCTCCTCGACGTTCTTGCACTTGCTACGTAGCTTTTCGGCATCGTTGCCCGCCGATTCGATATCGCAGTCCTGGAGAACCAACAGCGCCGGCACCGTGTGTCGCGGCGACTTCTTGGGGATGAAGATGCTCACTGATAGAGCGGCCTTGGGCGAGCCGGACTCCGCTTCATCATCCGTCAACGAGCAGTCCGTTGTCGAGCTGCCGTACTTTAGCTCCAGCGCTTCCAGCAACGACGGCATTTTTACAGCATTCTGAGGAAATTTACAAGTTTATTTTTGACACTTGCAATACATTGATATAAAAATACTTGAGGCTTGTGTTAGAGAAAGAAAATGGAGCTTTCAATTATATTAATATATCAATTGTGGCTATTTAAAGAAGAAACGATAAAATTGAAGAAGAATAGGAGAGATTTGAGTTATTTGAAAATAAATTTTTTCCTCTGAATGAGAAATAAAATACAAGTGAATACGCACACTATTGGCTCAATAAAACAAAGTGACACCGCAGAAAGAGGAAAAAAAGGGAGAAGGAAAAACCTTCGAGCCGGTCATCCTCGAGACACGTTAGAATCTGGTCTCACCATATCCGCTAAGGTCACGCCATTGTCTTTTTGCGCAGCGACTGAGAACCGGTACCGGTTCTCCGGGTAGTCGACACAAAACGATTCCTCGTGATTGCACGCGGCTCGCCCACGCGTCGCACGCGATGAGAGAACTCGGAACGAATCTGAATCTGTTTTGTCTATCGGAGCGAAAAGACCCTGAGAGAGATCGTTCCCGGTAAAAGAGGAATAATTAACTATCGTTGCACAAATATAAAAAAAAAATATTTTAATATTTTAATATTTTAATATTAAAATATTTTAATATTTTGAAGATAAAATCTATGAAAGAGGAGGGGACTGAAAAATCATGTCCATTTGTGATCCCTAAAGATTGAGACGGATCGGACTCTGATAAAGACATATCATAGACACTTTTAATTATTTTTAAAATTTTAATATACACAGGATTTATGAAAGAAACATATTTCAGAAATTATTATATTAGAAAAAATGCACCAAGTCAACTTAGAGATATCATAGTTTCTGTTCACAATATTATATATTCAGATATTAATCGTATATCAAGAGAAATAAAAATTAATTAAATTTTCGTTATTAAATATATAAGATTGTGACAATATAATATAATAGCTTATAAATTATTAATTTAATTTAAAAATTAATTCTATTTTAAATTAATTATTGATATTAAACTTTAAATTAATTATTGGTAAACTATTAAATGTTCAATATTGATATTGAATACTGCCTTTGTTCTTGAACTCAGGCTTAATTTTCGAAGTCATTAATTCGATTAATATCATGCTGTAGGAAAAGTTGTCAAGGACTTTTCATCGCGATTTCTCGAGCGCAGCGACGATTCGCTATGCAACAGTAATTGTTGGGCGAACTTTTAAATCTATTATACGGCACGATTATTAATACGTAGCCCGATTACCACATCTACAATCAGCGATAAATGTCTTTCTACATGCGTGCTATATACGTGCCCATTCGGTCGCGTCTTCACTATGCATGACGACCGCGATTTAACCGCCTTCCACGTGTCGCACAACACGATATACGTACCTGACTTTAATATCCACAATTGTATTATTTATTAGACCGAAGAGAGTGACTGTTGCATTTGTATTCGCGAAAGTGTAGCGTCCGGCACAGTTTCGGCATATCGTGACATTTCGACTTGCCCTGATCTTGACAGGAGCAAGAAGACGCTTCTCGTTGCGTGATATCTAGTATCTTACATATTCTGCGAAATTGTAAGATCGATAAACTTGATATAGATGCAGAGTTTACACGAGGTACTTTGGAGATTCTCCGAATTCGCTGGCAAAAGACGGAAGACTGTGTTACGTCGATCGGATGACATGTAACATGTAAAAGACCATTCACTTTTGTTGGGCGCACGTCAAATTGCACTAGCGTTTACGTAAGAAGGCCATTACGATCACAACGCGTCGCACATTTCAGAGTATTCCATTAATTTATAGTTGCTGTACGCCTGTACACATTATGAAAAATACAGTGGAGAACAATTCCCGCATAATCGCGATGCAAATTTCGCACTCTATAAATATTCATTCGCGACAGGCGGATGAGACGGACAAATTACTTTTTTCCTCAGCTTTTCCTTCAGCTCTCGCAATTTTTCTAAAAGATTTTATTCGCGCTCAATTAAATTTTATTATTCCAGAAAAAGAAAGTACGAAACCGCACAAGTTTAACGAGAAGAAAATCCGAAACAAGAACAAGGACGTAGCCCCCGGAGAAAATCACGTTTTACGCGTTATTAGAAACGAAATGGAAATTATATGAAAAACTTGAGCGACTCGTGCAGCGGAAATTCGGACACGCTTGTTTGCGCTCAGCCTAACCAGAGGAAATGAGCGAAATGTGCGAGGCCCACATCGTGTATCGGATCGCGCAGAGTTAATTCGGGATGCTCTGGTTTCGATCAGCCGACTCCAGCGGCGTCGTCGATCGACGACCAGGACCCACCTACAAGTAAGTGTTATAAATCGCGGTCTCTAAAAGCGTCGGCTCTCCTACGTAATAGCGGCGATATCGGTTCAACGGCCATGCGAAATTAACTTTCTCCGCTCTACGAACGAGAGAGAGGCCTAGAAGCACAAAACCGTGCACTGCATTGCGCGTCACGTTAAAGTCGGAGGCGCGTGTTGCTCCATCTCGACGCGATAGTCCGGGAAAGTCCGGGCACGGTCAGTGGGCACGTTTCTGCATCTGGGAATTGTGCTCTAGATTTTCGTCTTCTTTCGCGAGACGAATTTCTGCAAGCTACGTCAACGACGTCGATGCGCGCAGATACACAGTAAAAAAATAAAATGTTAACTTTAACACTTTTCACATGTCCCAGAAAGTCCACTCTAAATTTTAAGTCAAAATAACTCGCTCGTCATATGATAATTATTGATAAACTCAAAATATTAATTGACACAATACTTTATATTTATTTTTTGTTATCGTGACTTTAAGTGTAAAGTAAAAGTAACATATAAATTAATTAAAAATTACATGAAAAAATAGTTGCAATAACTCGTAAAGAATTTTGAGGACATTAATATATAATACTAATTATTTTAACTTAAATTATTTGTAATAGAAACATTTGATTTTAGTAAATTTGATTATTTTGTATGTCAAAGTTCAAGATTATTTGAAGATTCAGATTTCACTTTAACTTTTCTTAGAATGTTAAACTGACTTTGAGACATGTTGATTGTTTAAAATGATTATGTTAAAAATACTCAAAATAATATTCCATTTCTAAGAACCTATGAAATGTATGTTAATTTTACATTAAAGTACTAATCAAAACGTGTAACACAAAAAAACTTTAACATATGGACGCACAATTTTTTACTGTGTATTATTTATAATAAGCATGCGATGGATGAATTTTTCACCTGATGAAAATAAGCAGTAGACACAATTACTCCGCGAAAAATGCAAGCTGTAACATCTTTTTTTATGAATGAGCACCTTAGTTAGACGAAAGGAAGAGTTTTTGCGGAGAAGAGCATACATTATTATTTTTACGTACGAATTTATAAATGATGATAATTATGAATTTCTTAAGCGGAACGCTCGATTTCGATTTCAAACTCGCTTGCGGAATCACATCATTTACAAATTAGACATACAATACGTTCGCGACTGGCGATAAAGTAGAGAAAAGTAAGAGTGAGGATGCCATGGATTTAGACAAATAGCTTTTGTACAAATTACGGAAATCGAATACAATTGTAAAGAACCAAGATTCACTCTCTACGTAATTTCACGCTGGTTGCCGATGTGTTCCGATTTATACGATAAGAGAATATTTATATTTCATACTACGACATCTGAAAGCGAAGTCCGAAATTCGAAGCGAAATTTGTTGCTTCGAGAGAAACAAAAATATACGTTAAAATATTATGGGTCTATTCTAGTAAAAATGCTCTATAACGCTGTATCTCTATAAGCTATGTAGCACTGTAAAAAGAAAGTAGAGTGTAGAGTAAAAAAGAAAGAGCGAAGAGCGAAAAAAAGAAAGAATTAAAGAGCTACAAAGTTACAGAGTTTACAGAGCGAAAATTTTCTTACCAAATACACGACTTAATTAAATAAACAAATATCATCATGGTATCATATATGACACCAGAATATAAGTATACTTTGCACATAATAAAAATTATTTATTTTATATTACGCGATGTGAAAACAAATAACTCCAAGCTAATTTATCAACCTTCCAACAGAGTTAGCGATTTATCGTGTTGTTGTTCATGCAAAAGGAAAGAACATGACGAGGAAACATTGACAGGCATATAGCACGGATAGAGACGGGTTGCAGCTGGCAATCAGCTGAGCCGCGAGGCTTGAAAGCATTAAAGTGAGCCGTGCGTCCCGTTCTCTTGCGTGGCCAGCTACGCGTAACGTAACGCTAAATATACGACAGTGATGACGATTACGAAATGTCAAATAGAATTGGCGGCGCAGTGGGTCAATCGTGATGCTGTTTATATGCTCGAGCATCAGAAAAGACGGCCGACCTTCCTTCTTTAAAAAAAATTCGCACTTATGGTCCTCCAAGGTTTTATTTAAAAAAAAAAATATGGCAATTCGAGCAAAATCCATTCTGACAAGAAATTTGACAATTGTTTTCCAAATTGTAAGAAAATGAATAAGATCTGCTTTTTTTAGCTGCCATATTTGCTATTCCTTTATAATTTATTATTTTATAATTACAACATTTTTAATTTATATATTTTACGGAGGTATTTTAATTTCATATATTTGCGTAATTAATTGCAAAACTGTTTGATGTAGGATTTTCAAGCTGATTTATCCTTCAATCACTTTCATGCTTCCACAGACTCAAGGCCTCAATACAAGCGCCAACAAGGTACGATAAATTCAAGTGCGCATTTAACGATGAGTCCCGGCGATAAGTCTTCGAAATTTAAAAATGGAATCGAGGTTGAATCGCAACAGAAGGTTTTGGTGAATGTTTATTTTTCGCGTTTAAATTTTATACTTTGCTCAACTCCTCAGCAAACCTCAACAGCTCACCCTACCTCGGTTTTATTCAAATTATTTCCTATATAATAGACAAAGCGTCATTGTGTGCAAAACTGCAAATGTCAGAGTAAAATAAACTGGTAATCTATAAGACGTTTGTAAAAAGGAATCTTGAAGAACGAGAGAGAGAAAGACGACGATATTTATCACTCTCGGAGCTTCGGAGCGTGACAAACATTGCGTGTCGCCTTCTCTCTCTTCTTCTTTTGTCTTCCAGCGTCGCGGAAATGAAGTAGGAAATGGACAGATTAGGCAAGATTGGAGCTTTCCTTACGTGGCGCACAATGCCTTTCACCGGCCGCGAAAAAGCGACGGAGAAATCAAAAGCGCCGAACGTGCATCGGAGCGAAACGACGGAGGCTTTGCTTTTCCGTTTCACGTGTAAAATCCGATGAAGTAACGTTGACGAAAGTTTGCTTTTCGCTGCGCAAATGCAGCGCAAATGCAATGTCTCGTGCCGTGTCGACGGAATATTACTCACTTTGCTCAAGGTTACCCGATAGCATTGTGTGTGACGATGTATATGTATATAGACATTAGCGTTGAGTGCGACGACACATATATTTATAATAATATATAAATAATATATAAATATAAATATAAATATAAATATAAATATAAATATAAATATAAATATAAATATAAATATAAATAAATATAAATATATATTTTCGTTGCCTTTTAATTTGCGTAAAACTATATTAAATGCGCGCCTAATTCAGGAGCGAATTAAAATTAACGGCGAAACATTTTATGGAACTTTGATTGGAACTATAAATGATGCAGACGATATATATAAAGATAACGGAACGATCAAAGATGAAAATTAATTTTTGAATATAAAATAAATTCCTCGGATAAATAATAATGCAAGTTTCGGAAACATATTGAGATAATCAATCACCGTAAGCAAAAAATATGTTTATAAAGGAGATTTGCACGTATGTATAAAAAATTGATAGCTTTTTATAAAAGACCGAATTAAAATACTAATTTTTTTGAAAAGTTTTACAAGCGCAATGGATGCGATTATTAATGATACGACAATCAAGCGAAGCGATAAGTAATTCCGCTTATCTCACAGATGCACTACTGGAAATATCCACCATATGTATATATATATATATATAATCAGATAATAATCTCTCCTTCTCTTTTCCTCTTTGCCTGCCGTTTCATTCTTAAAAAACGCGTCTCGCATCGGCGCATGGCAATTAAATTGATGTGTGTGAGAAAGCGGCAAGAGGAAATATACAGATGTGTCATAAAGCTACTGCGCAATTTTTCATAGTCAGATCTCTCGATAAATTTAAAATTCCGTTTCTTTTCAGAGAAGATTTGATGATCGTGATTCGATGTAATTAGAGAGAGAAAGAAAGAGCGAAAGAGAGATAGAGAGAATGATTTAAAAATTTTTAACATTATATACTTTCGCTTAAATTAAAACTAATACGAGTTAAAGTTAAAATACGAAATCAAGGCTAATTGAAAAATGAAATTTCTTTTTGTCGTCTCTGTAAATTTAATATAAAATATTTATTTGCAGTTGAAATACTATGCTGTATTTCGAAACACTTGGTGTGCATTAGAATACTATATATAATGCAGGGAACTCACCCTTTCACAAAACAGCACTCTTAGCTGCGAATTTTAACAGCGATTTATTCCTACGATGCAAAAGTTACTAAACATTAAAAAAATAAATTAGGAACCATCCAAATCTTTGAGAGCTCTGATTAAACTCTAAATTTTATAAAATCAGATAATTTTTGATAATTTTCCGATTGAAATTTCGATAATTTTAAGATCAAACATTGCCTTTGTGAATTCTCATACATTATATACATTATAGATTTGTCTTTATCAAAATGTCGAAACATTCTCATGCAATAGCATGAAATATATATAAGAAAAACAAAAGAAAATAAGAATAAA